AAGTGCGTAGACTTCATCAACCTATCCACCACCACCCAGATGGCATCGTGCTTCAGCTTGGTTCTCGGTAGCCCCATCAGAAAGTCCATGGTGATGTGCTCTCATTTTCATCCTGGGACAGGAAGAGGTTGCAACTCTCCCGCTGGCTTCTGGTGCTCAGCTTTAATCCGGAGGCAAGTCACACATTCTGAGACATACTCACGAACGTCTCTTTTCATGCCTCTCCACCAGTACTATCTTTTTAGGTCCTGGTACATCTTTATGCTTCCCGGATGTATAGCATACATCGATTTGTGTGCCTCTTGCAGAATCGTCTTCTTTACCTCACCCGCCTTGGGAACAACAAGGCGGTTGCGGAAATACAAGGCTCCATCCTCTCGGATTCTCCAATCCTCGAATTGTTCTCCATTCTGGATTCGAATCCAAATTCCTTGGAGGTGTGCATCCTGCAATTGATTATGCTTAACCCATTCTGAGACATACTCACGAACGTCTCTTTTCATGCCTCTCCACCAGTACTATCTTTTTAGGTCCTGGTACATCTTTATGCTTCCCGGATGTATAGCATACATCGATTTGTGTGCCTCTTGCAGAATCGTCTTCTTTACCTCACCCGCCTTGGGAACAACAAGGCGGTTGCGGAAATACAAGGCTCCATCCTCTCGGATTCTCCAATCCCATACTCACGAACGTCTCTTTTCATGCCTCTCCACCAGTACTATCTTTTTAGGTCCTGGTACATCTTTATGCTTCCCGGATGTATAGCATACATCGATTTGTGTGCCTCTTGCAGAATCGTCTTCTTTACCTCACCCGCCTTGGGAACAACAAGGCGGTTGCGGAAATACAAGGCTCCATCCTCTCGGATTCTCCAATCCTCGAATTGTTCTCCATTCTGGATTCGAATCCAAATTCCTTGGAGGTGTGCATCCTGCAATTGATTATGCTTAACCCATTACACAATATCCGGTGTAGAGACCAGATTATACACCATAGCCTGGTTATAATCTTCGTAGAACTGAAGATCATACTCATTCACCACTTCAGTCCTTTTCCAATCTTCCAAAGCTAATGCCGCCAGAGCCCCCATCGTCTTCCTACTAAGGGCATCAGCCACCACATTAGCTTTTCCAGGATGATATTGCAGAGTGAAGTCGTAATCTTCCATATACTCCACCCATCTCCTTTGCTTGAGATTCAAGTCTTTCTGAGTAAACAATTTCTTCAGACTTTTATGGTCAGAAAAGACCTGAAATTTTGCTCCATAGAGATAACACCTCCATATCTTCAGAGCAAATATTACCGCTGCCAATTCCAAATCATGAGTGGGGTAATTCTGTTCATGTGGTCTTAATTGGCGAGATACGTACGCTACCACGCGTCCCTCTTGCATTAAGACACAGCCAAGCCCACTTCCCGAGACGTCAGTATACACCTCATATGGTTCCTCACTATCAGGAATAGTCAAAACTGGTGCACTTGTCAGTGTAACCTTCAATTCTTGAAAACTATTTTTGCATTCGGTGTCCCATTCGAATTTGACCTCCTTCCTCGTCAATCGAGTCATCGGTGCAGCGATCCTCGAGAAGTCATTTACAAAACGCCGGTAATACCCTGCCAGTCCGAGAAAACTACGAATCTCCGCTACATTCTTCGGCATCTCCCACTGTAGCACAGTCTCGATCTTAGAAGGATCGATAGAAATTCCTTATCCTGAGATCACATGCCCAAGGAACTTCACTTCTATCAGCCAGAAGTCACACTTCTCCTTCTTAGCATACAACTGGTGTTCTCGAAGAGTCTGAAGAACAATTCTCAAATGCTGCGCATGTTCTTCCCAAGTCTTCGAATAAACCAGTATGTCATCAATGAAGACGACCACGAACCGATCCAAGTACGGCCGGAAAACACGGTTCATTAGATCCATGAATGCAGCTGGGGCATTCGTCAACCCAAACGGCATTACCAGAAACTCGAAGTGCCCATACCGAGTTCTAAATGCAATCTTCGGAATGTCTTCCTCCTTGATTTTCAGCTGATGGTACTCAGATCTCAAATCAATCTTAGAGTAAAACTATGATCCACCCAACTGATCGAATAACTCATCGATCCTTGGCAGTGGGTATTTGTTCTTCACAGTTACCCTATTCAATTGACGGTAGTCAATACACAACCGAAGAGATCTGTCGTGCTTCTTCACAAATAGCACCAGTGCACCCCAAAGGGAAGTACTATTCTGGATATATCCCTTTTCTGCCAACTCCTCAAGCTGCGTTCTTAATTCTTTCATCTCCGCCGGAGCCATCCGGTATGGAGGAATGGAAATAGGTGCCGTTTCCGGAACTAAATCAATACAGAATTCAATTTCCCGATCTGGCAAAAACCAGGTAGCTCATCAGGAAATATATCTGTAAACTCATCCACTACAGGGATTCCTGCACTATCTCCAGTTACTTCAAGTTCACCTTCTAGAGCAAGAAGAGAAGAAAAACATGCTAGATTCCTCCGTCCCCCAACACTGTACTTCAATAGTCGTTCTCCTAGGACTGGATTTAGATCTGCCCGATAAGAAATCGATGTTCCAGACTTAGTCATCAGAGTCACTCTCCTACGGTAACAATCAACAATTACTCCGTAATCCGACAACCAATCCATTCCGAGGACCACATCAAATAGGCTCATCAGAAGGATAATCAAGTCTGCTTTCATTCGCTCACCGTCAATCGTAATCCCACATGATTTACACACACTCATTACCTCCACACATCCCAGTGGGGAGTTCAAAGTCATCGGGACTTCTAAATTCTCATATTTCAGTTTCAAAGCCCGAACAAAAGAACTTGATATAAACGAGTGTGTGGCACCTGTGTCAAACAATACGTGAGCAAAAGAATGAGAGATTAGAATCATACACTCAACCACTGCGTTACTGGTCTGACCCCCAGAACTGCCTCCTGCCAGGGCATAAGCTTATCCATGTACCTTCCCTTTCCCTCTATCACCAACATTAGGCCGTTGGGTCGGAGGCCTATACTGTTGCGGCGGAGGTGGTTGTACCGGCCTCGGCGCTTGAGGCCAAAATTGTGTAAGTAGAGGTGGTTGATAAGTCGGCACAGGACGGTATTGCATCTGTTGTGGCTGATATGGTGGCATGTACGGTGGTGGCCCTTCTTGACTATAGGATGCGTCACTTTGGGCTTGTTGAGCCGGCGGTCGATTAGGACAATTCCTCCTAATATGACCCATCTGCCCACAATGGTGACACCTGGGCCCGTATGGAGCATTTCTATCACTTCCGGACGAACTACTGCCACCGCTTGTCATTTCTCCAACTGTTCGTCCCTAGTTGCGGTTTCTCCTACCACTCTGCTGTGGTCCACCCGAAACGGAAGGTCTACCAGAGATAGAGACTCGACCAGTTGCCTCTTTGCTTTGGTGATAGGCCAAGTTATCTTGTTCCACCCGTGTAGCAGCAGCTACCAAATCCCGGAAGTTCCGAATCCTTAAGGCCACCAATGACCTCCTCACAGAATTCTTGAGGCCCTTCTCAAACTTAAGACACCTCATAGGTTCAGACTCCACTAGTGATGGCGCAAACCGGGATAGGTCATTACTCTTGGCCTCATATTCCCTTACAGACATGTCACCTTGCAGCAGAGACATGAATTCCAGCGCTTTTTTCTCCCTATAACTCTGAGGGAAGTACTGCTCATTGAACAGTGTCTCAAATTGCTCCCAGGTCAGTCCTGTAACATCCATTCTTCTCTTGACCTGTTTCCACCAAGTATTCGCTAAGCCCTCCATCTTGTACACCGCAAATTCCACCCAGTATTCATCTGGAACTCCCATAGTACTCAAATGCTTGACTATGGAGTCTAACCAGAACTCTGCTTCCTGGGTCCTCCCTCACTATTAAACGAGGGGATAGGCGCACGCCTAAATTCCTAAAAGTCCCCTTGCTTCCTATCCTCAACCGGCCGCTCGTTTTGAGCTCTTGTGGCCATGCCTTGAAAGGCAGCATATATGGCATCCAGAAATCCTTGTTTCTGTTGTGCCGGTTGATTAGCGAGCCTACGGCGAGGTGCCACTTCCTTCAACTGAAATAAAACTAGACTATTCAGTGGATTACATATGTCACACATGTATGTACAATCCTGGGGTTTCTTAACCTAGGGCTCTGATACCACTCTGTCACGCCCCCCAAACGGGGTGGGTGACGTGGAGCTCAATTTGGGATTAATAAAGTAGATTTCCAACCGGGCCCCACACTTAACTGCATTAAAATATGATTAAATTACAGAATTCCCGAGCCTCTGACACACAGGGCTCCACCCCACAGGACATACAGTATCGTACATACATGAACATGTAAATAATCATTACAATAGACATCAACCATAATCTAGTTAATCCAAATATTACATAAGTTTACTGAATTCTCAGTTCCTTACATTTATACCCGAGGATGACCACAATCCTCACTTGATTCCAACAGCAACACAACTTAGCTGCTCCATAGCAAATATCCAGCTACTGTGCACCACTCCTAGAATCTCCTAGGAGGGGTTTAATACATTTGAAAAAATAAAACGTGAGCGAAAGGCCCAGTAGGATATAATTTGAAATAAACGTTACAATTAAATGAATAATGAGTGAGCGAGGAAATAAATAAATGAATAAGTAAATAAAATAAGACATTCAGTTCCAACAGACAGCCAGAACCTCACATCCTTTTTCTTAAAGGAAATAAATGTAAAATCTCCATATTACAGGCTTCAGCAAGTAATTAGTGCAAATTACTTACCTAAACAAGTGTCTCGCCTACCCGGACCGAGTTTCAGGTTCTGCTCCCGAGAATGCACTCTCCGCATCCTATCTAGGCTTACAGCAATAGACTCTATTACCAGTTCACATGATCTCTTTGCTTAAGAAATCATTCATTAACATTTTGAAATCGTTAATACGACCCCACGAACTACTCAAGCCGTGGGCCCCATGACTGGACAAGTCATGAGGTTCCATGACTAAACAAGCCATGGTTTTCAAACATTTTTCTTTCGCAAACCAATCCCTTTCTTTAAAACATTTTCAAGGCCAAAATCATTTTTGAAAACAAGCTCACAAGAAAAGGGATAGAAATCCTACCTCGCACTATCAAACCTGGGACTAACGTTGCCTTTTCCAGCTTTCGCTTCCTCAAGCCCCTTCAGTCTGAATCCTCAGTGATCACTGATGCAAGACAACACTTTAGGATTAAT